TCCAACGAAAGATGAAATTAACACACATAATAAAGCATGTACTGCTTGATTATGATAAACTTGAAGATAACATCATATTATCTAACATCGAAGTACATACGCAACTTTTATATAATTGCTTTAATATTACAACTACTTTTGTGTTGTTAAACAACAATATGGGACCCAGAACTCTCAGGCGCCTGACCGTTCTCAGAATTTCCAATCGAGGCTATTTCAGTTTCCAATCCATTGGTGTCTAGTGTGTCCAATGGTGTCAGGGATTGCCAATGGAGTGGCAGTGGATCCTGTCTCAACAGTGAATCGTCAGCCAATCAGAGCAAAGAAAATTTCTATCCCAACCTCCGTTAACAGATCAAACTACGGCCTGAAGATGTGCAGGAATAGGACCCATTACTGTACTACATTTAATTGTAGTATGAGAACGAATCGCTTGACGTTGATCTTTGTATAGGTTATGTTTATTTACATCATGAAAGTACACACGTGCTGAACGTTATTATAGCTTAAGTGACCGTGTTTTATCAAGAAATATGGCTTTAAGAATGAAAAAGACAAGCTTGGCTGATAAAATAAACTCTTTAGTTAGTACAGCACCAACAAACTTTGATTCTGATGATGATGCCGAAGATACAAGAGCCAAAGTAGTTGATCGTGACGATGAAAGTGACGATTCCGTTAGCAATTTTCAGGTTTCAGAAATAAGAAAACAAAATGTTGATCTTCTGGATCAATTAGATGAAAGGTAAGCACTACATTTTTCGATTATAGTTTTATATTGTCGCTTTCAAGATAAGACAATATAAATCATGTCTCTATTTATACTCTGTATATACTCTATATACACCTCTTGTCTGAATTGACACCTTTCTTTTTAATCAGAATTTTAATATTAAAAATACTGAATAGTAATCTTACTTAAATTTTGTAGAATTTTTTTATCGAGGTAATTACACAAGTTGAACAACTGAAACGGGATATGTCAACTAGTCATTTTGTCTCATTCGTTATACATTTGATGTTGAATAAAATAATGGGATAGATTATTTCAGGCAAAACAGAATCAGTCCAGAGGACT